CCGAGACTCCTTTGGGTAGTGAAGGGCGGGGTATGAAGCCAACTCTTCTTCTCAAGTATAAAGCAGCTGTGTGGGTTCATGTCGAGGCCACGCCAGAGTAGAGATGTGAAGGCCCGGAAAAATTCGGGGGGGGAAACAGTTTTTTTCCTGAAGTCGTTTTGGTTTTTTCCAAAAAATTGGAAACATTGAAAAAAGGAAAGAAAAGGGGAAAAAATTTATTATGGAACGTTTTATTTTAACGTGATGAATAAAATATTTTAAGACAAGGTGTTCAAATATTTTCCAAATCAATTCTAAAAAATATGTATGGTATCAGATTGATCTAATTTCTGTGCACTGAGGACAAGCAAGTCCTAGGTTACAAACTGAACTCTCCAATGCAAGAACAAGATGCATTTCTTCCTTTAGGAGGTGCGATTGTCAGAAGAAAATAAAAAAGTTTGTTTTGTTTTTGCATGTGGGTGGGTATTCTGTTTGTAATAATTGTTTGGATACACTATATTTTTAATATGCTAGTTGTGATAATTTCATGCCAAGTAAAAATGTCCATAGTCATATTTTATGTTCCTAAAGTAACAGAATGACTTTCAATCTAGAAAAGACAAAAGAAATGCTAATGCAGCATTTTTTCCAATTTTTCTGAAAATTTCCGTTTTTTCCCAGGGGAAAAAACAGTTTTTTTCCCGAGCTTCAAAATTTCCAGAAATTTTACATCTCTACTCCCCCCACCCCCTCCTCTCTCCCCCCTCAGCAGCACGGTGTTTTCTGCAGACCTTTGCTCAAAGGGCCCACTTCAGCTGCTGCCTCTGCGATGGAAGCCCAGGTTCCCAAGGTGTGGGAGGTTCCAGTTGGGGGGAACCAGTTGGTTCCAGTGGGGGGAACCAGTTGAAAAACTACTGGAGAGAATCAGTGACATGCTGAGTATACGTCAAGATGATTGGTAAAGCCTGCTATTATAGTGTTAGCTAACACTCCTGCCCCCCCCTCCACGCATATATACCGGATGAAGCAATCGCCTGAGCTGTAAAGCACAACGTCAACATGAAAACATCTGGGGTGCTATTGGATCAGTGTCTACAGAGAGAAGACTGGTTCTCTTCTGTGGTGTGGAGCACATTCAGCCCACTTTGGTTAGTGTGCCGACTACAACCATTCCTCACAAGTTAAGATTTGGCCACGGTTATCCAAACTCCGATCACATCCCAGTCAGATACTCCGCAGTATGCTCTCTGTGGGCCTGCCCTTGAAACTGATCAGGCGCTTCAACTGGTGCAAAATATGGCTGAAGGACTGCTAGCTAGCGAGAGCTATAAGGAACACATCTGACCGGTTTGGAAGGTGCTGCCCCTTAACCTCTGGGCACAATTCAAAATGCTGCATCTTAACTTTCACACCTTACAGTGACTGGGACTGGGATACTGAAAAGGGCCACCTCCTCCTATACAAATGAAGCAGACCAGCTACCAAAGGCCTGTCCTGTTCCCACCCACCATCTTCCACAGGTGAAGTGACTGGCCACTGGAGCCAGAGCTTCCTCAGTCCATGGTGGCTCCTCCGCAGTTCTGTTCACAGGCCGATTTACCATTCTATTGCTGAAGGTGGAAGGAGCATGGAAACCTAGGTGCTGAGAGTCATGGGATATATACTCCATATACGGTGGGTACTTCCAAGCCACTGGTCTGTCTAGCTCAGCATTGTCTCTTCTGAGGTCTCTGAGGTCTCAGGCTTGCTAGCGGAGAGCCTCAAAGATCCCTAGAGAGGATTGAGCCCAGGGTCTTCTGCACGGAAAGAACTAGCTCTTGGCTGCAGAGCCCTGCCGGAAAAAATACCTTCCAGGCACTTCTAGGGACTAGAATGTAGGAAGCCGCCTGGG